TCAAGAATATAGTTCGAGATTTCTTCAGCCTTCTCCTGATTAATGAAGTGTCCAACCCCTTCCATCACAACAACATCCTCCAACAACGGCACATCTCTTTTGAACCCACCCTTGTGAATGTAATCCTCCATTCCTTCACAACGGTAGGCTAAATCGAGATCGCCGACGATGAACTTTGTCGGAACTTTTATCTGAATATCATCCCATGGAGCAGTGAGCTCCCAGTTCCTGCACCATCAATTTTAAGTAATTCAACTTCCTAAACTCCATAATGTAGTATATAAAAGCATGATTAACATATAAACGTGGGTACTAACTTGTCTATGTTACGATAGTAATTAATTCCACCGGTGAAGCCGGTCTTGTTGAGTTTGGTCGCGAAGTAGTCGATATCAGCTTCAGAAAGCCAAGCAGGTAACGTGATTTCTTGACTAAATCTTTCTTTAAATCTGTCATCTTTTGGTATGAGAAAAGGGCCTGCATAGCGAGAGGTTAACAAACCCTTCAAGAACAGGGCTGTATCAAGTTCGGCTAATTGAGCTTCCACTTCTCCAGGTTCCTGGAACACAATTATATGCCCTATTTGTTTCAAAAGATATATATATATATATATATGTATACTTTTTAATTATGAGAACTCAGAAGAGTGAAGAGGAAGCGGGACCTGAAATCGACAAATATACAAATCGTCGCCGTACATTGCCCTCAAGGTGTCAATGCGCCAGAAAGCCTGCTTTCTAGGAAAAAAGGCGACGCTCAAGTTGACGAGAGCTTTAACTTTATCCGGCCTGAAAGCGCATAGATTCCACGCCACAATAGCTCCCCAATCGTGCCCAACCACGAAGACCTTCAAGGATCTTTGTGTTATGCGAAAATAATATGGAAAGGAGAAAATTCACATAATAATGATCAAATATAAAATATTTATGTGATGCAGTGTTAAGTTGATTCGTCTACATTCACAAAGTATGAGATTTCACTGGCATCGAATCAGAAGAAAAAAAAACGTCTTGAGGTTACAATTTTTAATACTAATTGTTATGCAAATAATACGTAAACTAAGAAATTCACACAACAATAATCAAATACAAAGGAATCATGTGGTTCAACATTAAGTTGATTCGACTACGTCTAAGAAAAAATTAGATTATACTAACACCGAATGGGGGAGAAAGAAAAAAGATAATTTATGATTACAGTTTATGCACTTCTTATCATAACTCCTATAAAACCTAAGTCTCTTTTATTGAATAAGACTAGAAGATACAAATAAATAAAAAGCCATAAATACAACATTTTTCTAATTATCACTTCCGAATAAGGTTGAACTTTGAAGGTGGAGATGGGAAAAGGGATGAGGTTGAAGTCTGTGATACCTGTTCATGGCCGAGAGAGTCGATTAGGGCGACAAGGTCGCCGACGAGGTGGAAGATAGAGTATGCGGCGACGTCGGTCGGCACTTCGGTGTCACCATAGCCGCGTAGGTCAGGTGCGACGGCGCGGTAACCGTGAGCGGCGAGGGAGAGTATCTGGTGGCGCCATGAATACCAGAGCTCAGGGAAGCCGTGAATTAGGAGCACCACCGGTCCCTCTCCCTTCTCCGCCACGTGCATCTTTATTCCGTTCACTTCCACCATCCTGTGTTCTATCCCTTCCCCCTCCATCTTTCTCTGTTAGGCACAAATTGAGGTTGGAATGTTTTGCTTGTGTTTATAAGGAAGAAGATGCAAGTTTACAAACTTCAAACTTTCCTTTTGTAGTATTAAAATAAGGATGATTAGGCCTTTTCTCTATCAATGTCCTTCTCAAATTCCATTAAAAAAGAGGCATTTATATACATACCACTCAATTCTTATGTATTTACAAATCTGGCACATTAACTTTAATTATTACACATATAACACAAATCCTTACAATCACTTCAAAAGAACCGCCATTTTTAAGTTTTTAAGAGAAAACCAGACATTTATATGCATAGGGAAGGCGGTCTACGTGTAAAAATTGAAGTTTGGGTGTAGATATGCAAATACAAAAGAATTGAGGGGCGTGTATGTAAATCTTCCTAAAGAAACAAAGCTAAGGAAGATGATGAGGATGCTTTATCGTATATAAATTAGTTCGTAATGTTAAATCGGACGAAGCAACCAATTGGCAGACGAGCAATCACCGCATAGGCGACTTGCAAATGCACTCTATCCGAAAAATACGACAATTACATGTGCTTTCTTGGACCCTTTGCAAATGTAATTTTTTTTGTTTTCTATTTCTCTTGCATTTTTGAGAAAATTTCTATATTGAATAAACACTCTTATCTCCTAAATAAAATTTCTATATAGTTTTTTATTATGTTTCTTATTTATATTGAATTAAGTATTATACTTTGTTAATCTAATTTTTTGTTTTTTTAGAATATATAAATTGAGCATTCAGATGATTTTTTTAACTACTAAACTGATGCATATATACGTGTCCCGATCAAATTATTGAGAATTTGATAAAAATGAAATATATGAGTTGGGATTTTGTCATGAATTTTAATATTTGGATTTATCATGAATTTTAATATTTGTTTGAGAATTTGAAAAATGGATGAAAGGGAGTGGTTGATTTGTAAATAATAGTGTTTAGGTTTGTTTTGTGAGTAATTGCTACTTTTTTTTCTTCTTGTGTTTCCTTTTATATTGCTAATTTTTCTTGTTTCTTGTGTAAAACATGTTTAGCTACTTTTTTTTTTTTTTTTTTTTTGGGAATTGTGATTAGGATTGTCAGAAATAACTAGTTGTTTGTGAATAACTCGTGTTCGAATCTTTCCTCAAGTAAACTAGTCGAACACAAACAAATTTTTTTAGCTATAATTATAAACGATCCAAACACGAATAACTATTTTAGTTAAAAATAAAGAAATTTTGTACATTATTATATAACAATATATTATAGATATTGTTTTTAGAATAGCATATTATATATAATTATGTCTACATGGAAATTATAATAGCTCACGGTTCTGAGTCTTCTATTACACAAAATTGTTGTAGGTTCAAATCCATTACCCTAAATTTATTTGTCTAATTAATTTATACTAGTCAATTTCAAGCCAAACACAATTAAGAATATGTAAATTGAGCCGAACGAACACATTATTCAGGAACCAATTTCAAATGAGCAGAACATGAGCCAAACCTAAGCTGGCTCAAGCTCGGCCCGTTTATGGCCCTAACCGTAACCTAGTGAATTTGAGAAGCAAATCCAAAGCAAAAAGCAAGCAAGAGAGATGAAGGTTTTGGGAGACTAACCTAAACAAGAGTGAGGGTTTCAAGAAGGAGGAAGATCTCAACCTCTTTGCTAAGCAAGAAGCAACCTTGGAGATTGAAAGCATTAACAAATTGAGATTTTTGATAAATCTAAATAAAATCTTCAATCAATTGAAAGGCTTTTGCTGATTCATTTAATTATAAATCAATCTTTTATAATTTAAACTTCATAATGATTTCAAAATTGAATAATATTATTTTTTATTAAATTCATCTCATCAAAACACTTAATTTAACTGTAATCATGCAATACTTTAAGACTGCTATATCTTTTAATTAATGTCTTAAATTTTGTAATCATAATTTAAAGTTTGATTAGGGTTTATTGGATTCAAATATGATGTGAAACAATGCAAACACGTAGAAATTCACACAACAATAATCAAACACAAAGATTTATGTGATTCAATGTCAAATCGATTTGCCTACGTCCAGGGAGGATGTGAATCCACTAGCATTGGATGGGTAGAAAAGAAAATAGCTTGGGGTTAGAAATCAACACTTCTTCACGCCATACTCTCACATAAGCCTTATATCCTTTGTATATAATAGGATTAGGCCATACAATGAAGTACAAAAAAAAAATCAATTATAATATACCCTTTCAATAAAAATCATAAATATAGCAATCTCCACCTCTTCTCTTACTTCCAGATAAGTGATAGACGATCGACTATGATCCAACTTTAAATCAGCTGCAACAAGATGGTTGCCTATGCACCCCCTCCCGAAGGGATTAAGTCTCGAGTAGTTTTTTAAAATGCTCGACTGGGCAATTAGTCCTAAGCTCGAATGTTCATCAAACTATAGCAATATAAGAACTTCTGAACTGATACTACTTTCGCGAGCGTGTCCACTGGATTCTCCTTCGTATATATCTTCTTCAGCAGAACATTGTCTTCTTCAATCAAGTCCCGAATAAAGTGGCATCTTACATCAATGTGATTGATATGAGCATGATGAACTAGATTTGTAGCTAAGAATATTGTACTATGATTGTCACAGAACACCGTCAGAGACACTTGATTAACTCCTAAGTCATTCAATAGCCTCTGCATCCATATTGCTTCTTTCACTGCCTCCATAACTGACATGTACTTAGTCTCAGTATTAGAAAAAGCAACAGTAGACTGAAGAATTGACTTCCAACTGACTAGACCTCTTGCCAATGTGACTAAAAGTTCATGGTAGATCTTCACCTATCCATATCATTTGCATAGTATGAGTTAATGTGGCCTACAAACAAATCTTCACTGGATGACTGTCTCTCAAATATCAAGCCAACATCAATTGTACCATTTAGATACCTCAGAATACTCTTCAAAGCCTGCCAATAACTATAAACTTGTCAAAGCTCAAAATCAAAGATTAAATAATCTTTAGTTTGACACTAGGAGATATCTCATCAAGAATGCATTGAGCTTTGCACCAAACCAAGCAACTTTTTTTAATGGCATATGAGAAGTCATTTAGGATCATTTTTATTTCTTGGTTTTTTTAAGAAATATATTCGCTTAATATTTTTATTACATGTTTTTATTTTTTTTAATTTAATCAACTTAATTTTAAAATTAATTAAATTAACAGTTTAGTATTTTGAGTACACTAAAACTAAATATCACCATTTTTTACTAGGGCCACCTACTTCAACATGATGTGGCTGACAATCACCACTTGTCACCTTGATCGATCAATCGATCGTCGTTGCCACTGCTTTCATGTTCTTGCAGGTCTTTAACTTAGCGCTTTCAACAACCAACATTATCTAAATTGATTATTTTAAATTTTTTTTTAAATATAATTTCATTTTCATTGTATATAATAAAAACTGTATTTTATTTAAAATAAATAATATAAACAAAACTAAATAAAAATAAATGACATCTAAACAACCCCATAGAGAATATTGATTTGGCCTTTTTTTTTCTCTTAGCTTTATATTTCAAATAACTTGCACATCTCTACTTGGCCATAATTTATTTTGTTAGATTTTTCAAAACTTTATACCATGAGTAAAATCACTTTTTACAATAAGATCTTTCATCTTTTGGAAAATAAAGGAAATGTACTCTTTATAGATCTAAACTGCTCAGTATACATCTATAATAAAAATATTATTTTTATTCATCACATTTTAACACATCAAAATGACTTTAATTAAAATAAATTTAATAATTTAAATTTAAATTAAATCATTCTCATTTTGATTAGTAATAAAATACATATCAATATATCAATACTCTTACTTCGATCACAAATTAAAATGAAAATCATATATAACATAATAGCTATTTACTTTTAAATTGTAAAGGATTGCTTGAATATCTCTGACTTTAGACATAAGAAGCAATAAAGATAAAAAGTAGAATTTATTCAGGAGAAATTATTACATCTTAATATCAGCCAACACTAAGTCTAATGTACAAATAATGAATCACAACATATCATATGAGTGGTGCGAACAAGAGACATTAATCACGTATCTAGAGACATTATATAAAATTGTAAGAAAATGGAGCAGAATAAACATCATTAATCCATAGAAGAACATATTAAAACTTCTGAATGAAATCAAGAATATGGTTTGAGATTTCATCAGCCCTCTCCTGATTGATGAAGTGTGCAACCCCTTGCATCACAACAACATCCTCCAGCAATGGCACATCTCTTTTGAACCCACCGTTTTGAATGTAATCCTCCATTCCTCCTGCATGGTAAGCGAAATCCAGCTCGCCGATGATGAATTTCGTCGGTACTTTTATCTGAACATCATCCCATGGAGCAGTGAGCTCCCAGTTCCTGCACGATCAATTTTAAGTAATTCAACTTTCTAAACTCCATAATTTAGTATATGAAAGAATGATTACCATATAAATGTGTGTACTTACTTGTCTATGTTACGATAGTAATTAATTCCACCGGTGAAGCCGGTCTTGTTGAATTTGGTCGCGAAGTAGTCGATATCAGCTTCAGAAAGCCAAGCAGGGACTGTGATTTCCTTACTTTTTATTCTTCTAAATCCGCCATCTTTTGGTATAATCAGAGGCCCTGGATTTCTGGAGGCTAAGAAATTCTTCATGAGCAGAGCTGTATCAACCTCGGCCAATTGAGCTTCCACTTCTCCAACTTCCTAATTCACATTCGCAAAGAAGAAAAAAGGCAACTCATTTTCATTGAAAAACTCGGTTTTTTAATAATTTGTTAGACCAGATGCCTGTATTTCTGTTTAAGGATTACACAGACAGAACAGCAATAAAAACTTCAAAACAAACAGGAACAAATAGAGCGAAGAGGTCACCTGGAATCTGGAAACATAGAAATCATCCCCATAGATCTTCCTCAAGTTATCAACCCGCCACAGAGCCTGGTTCCTGGGCAGGAACGCCACGCTCAGGTTGACTAAAGCC